CCCCCGCCCCCCGCCGGCCCCCCAGCCACAGCGGGATGGGCACGGCACGGCCCCCGGTGCCCTCCCGGCAGGCCGTGGGGAGCCCGGTGGGAGGCCACAGCATCCCCGCAGCTTTGGGAGAGTCGTCGGGGTCTGTGAGGGAGAGCGAGGGGTGAGCAGCGCCCCAGGGTGGGAACATCTCCCAGCCTTTGGCTGGGCTCGAGTCGAGAAATAAGAAGTGCATCACCTTCCATGCCGGCGTGCAGTGTCTTCCATCGTTATTGTGGCGGGGCCTCCCCCACCATGCCTTCCCCTTCACAAGGCTGCTCACCCTCCTCAGCTGGGGGGAGGCTGCTTGTCTTGAGGAGCCTGACTCCATCCTCAGGTACTTCAGCCCTCGCACACCAGCCTCCACCTTGCGCAAGGCTGGGGAGTGGGTGGCAGGGAGCAGTCAGCCTTGATAAGTCTAAATTATAGAGCTGGGGAACCCTCGCCACCCCTCACCTCCTCCCTGGCAACAGGCCAGGCCATAACAAAGTCAGGACAACAGTGAGTCACGGATTTCACAGGACCAGTGAGTCACTGCAAGAAGCAGCCACGCTAGCAGGAGACCTGAATAAGGTTCATCCTCTTGTGGTAAAGCTCATACGCAGCTTTATTCCCCCCACCCTCCACAAAAAAAAAAAAACCTGTGAAGAATCTTTCTGAAAAATGACTTCCAAGTGCAGTTAAGAGATGTTGTGAGATTGCTCTGAAGTACAGCTCAGGGACATCAGCACATTTGCTCCACTTTCAAGATCAGTCCAGCAGAGGAAGCTGCAAGGAGAGAGGTCTACTTTGTGTCCATCATCACAGCTCATGGAGGGGCCCCTCACCAGCACCATGTCCCTGCTGTGGTTGAGGAAATCCCCAACTCTCTGTCCTACCAAATGGACCCCAGTCTGCCAGACTGTGTCAACGCCACTGCATATATTGGGCCAGGTATCTCACCCTGAGGCCATCTAGCCTAGCACGGCTCACTTCCACAGAGTGAAACTCTCTTCTCATCCCTAGAAAGTGTGGCCTCGTCCATATCACCCCATGGGAAGAGTACCCAAGCTATGCTATGCCCCAGCCATATCTATGAACAGGGTGGCAATGTAAGCTGTCCTGTTTACTACTATAAATACAGCCCTAAAGAGCGGGATGTGATCATCCAGAGCAGACCGGCTTTGGGCAACATGGGGCTTCAAGAGAGATCCAGCTGCAGAGCCTCAGGTTGCTTGTATACCCTAAGTGTTCCTGGCTCCCAGCTCAGAAGCCCATCTTGAGCTATCATCTCCAACTCGTCTCTTTCTTCCTCAGCCTCCCAGTTCTCAGCAGCCAAGCCTCCTTCTGCATGGGTACCTGAGACACGGGACCTGGCAAAGCCTCACAAATTACGGAGCAAGAGTGGGAGGTGCTGCTGCCATAGTAGCAAGTTCCTGTGCTCCAGCTGCTCTGCGACTGCTTAATGGGAGGAACTGGCCCAGCCAGGCCTATCAGGAGTTCTTGTAGGACACCAAATTATTTGTACTTCGTGTTGCTCATGGCCAAACCTGGAAGCGAGGACACAAAGATTAGGTCCTTCCATCCCAGGTCCACCTGGTAACTGCTGTGCACTGTGAAATGGCCAGCTCTCACCTTTCCTGTGCCCACCAGGCACAGCCTGCCCCACAGCAGTAGTCATTGCTGCTGAAGTAGAATTAGACTGGGAGAGCCCTGAGGCAGCTGCTGGCTGACACCTTGGGTAACAACCCACAGCCCGGTAGGAACTATGCTGTAACATCACACATGCCTCATGGTCTCCAGACTCCTCAGAGGCTAGCCTCAGTTTAGACTGGGAAGTGCTCAGGCTCACTCAGGCTAGTATGAGTGAAGGGGTAACAGAAGCATAGTGGACACATCTGTAGCATCCCCCGCCCCAGCTGGGCACAGCTACCTCTCCCAGCTCTGGATGGACCAGGCAAGCTGCATGGGGCAGAATAAAACCAGATCCCTCCTGGTTACTTCCCTCGTGTGCCACATGAGCTAGGGCCCACCAGTATTTGTGCTTCTGCAGTTATTGGAAGAAAGGGTTTGGAGGAGGAGCCCACTGCATGCTCCACCACACCCAGCAAGGCATCCTTTTCTACTGCTGTCCCAATGCAGCAGCAAGAAGTCCCAAGAAGACATGGGAAAGCTGTATCATAAGTAGGACCAACCTCTACAGAGGGCTGCAGGCCAAAGCTAGCACAATTAAGGACTTCTCCCTCACTCCATGCCTGAGTAGGCTTACCTAGCACAGCAGCTCAAGGCTGCCTGAGGCCAGCGAGGGATGCTTAGTTTATGGAAAGAAAGATTTAATCCACCCATTTTACTCATGCAGGGTAAGGTGTCAGTCTAGACCTCAAGAGTGGGTGACTGCCTAAGGGACCCATCCAACTCTCTCCCTTAGTCCCATCATTTCCTTCTGAGGCATTTGACCCTCACCTTCCTCTCCATCCAGGACTTCAAGGACCAAGGCTGGCACAATCTTCCCCCCCCAAATGGTACTCAAGCAAACTTTCCTACCCTCCTCCCCCCACCCTGGTAACCAACCCATGTGGACTACCAGTATGAAGCAGATCAGATTTTGAGACTAGGTAGACCAAAACTCATATTTATTGATTTCTTTTTCTGTATCTTTGAGATGGAGGTGTTAGAGGAAGTTATTCCCAGCTGACGGACTGGAGTGTGAAGTCCCCTTGTGTATCAAAGTAGTCAAAGACAGAGAGACCAAGCCGGTTCGGGAATGTGAACTGGTGGCCTGGCAGGTGGACTGTCAGATCATTTTGGTTGATGGCAAAAGCAATCTGGCAAGACAAATGAAAAAGTCAGAGAAAGTTTCTGCTGAGATACCCTCAAGCCTTTCCCCTCCACAGCACTGCTGTGCCACCCTCTGCTTTGCAGGGTGAACATGTTCAGCAGCATAACCTGCTCTTCAACAGCAGGAGTGTTATTCTGGTCTCCCAAGAGATACCTATTCCCTGCTCAGTTCAATAGCAACGTCCCTTTGAGCTGGATGGAGCTTGCATGTTTGATCCCCACCCTTCATCACTGCCCAGAGCCCTGGGTGGTGGCACCGGCCAAGCAGGAGAAGCCAGCTACCTCCTGTACAGCCAGCCCTGAGACAGCCTCCGCAGCTGGGTGCCCTGTGCCAGATACCCTTCCTTCACTGGGACGCGTACAGAGAGTGCACCCCAGGCCTCACCTCTGCTGTGCCCCCCTTCTGGAAAGGGAAGGTAGTCTCCCTGTGCTCTGCACCCCACTCTTCCACCTTCTTTGAGTTGCACACGATGGTGTTCACATCACCATGAGCTTCAAAACGGGGGTTGAAGTGAAGTGCGAGGTTAGAAGCATCCTTCCCCAGATTTATCACAAAGCTGCAGAGAAAGAAGACACCAATACTGTTTTAATCAATACTATGGTAGCATGTTGCTTCTTGCCATGAAGATCTCTGGTTCTGTTGCTTCAAGCCCAGCTGAGGATAACCAAAGAGAAACCCTTTGCTAAACTGCACAGCTTCCCTAAAAAGACAGTGCTGTGTCAGCAAGGGGTACTCTTCTCTGCTGGGGTGACAGACCCCACAGTGCCATCCCTGGGAGAGACACCACAATTTCCACAAAGCTTTTAACAAGAGAAAGGTTCAGCACTTAGAGCCCTGGACAGGGAGTTCTCCTGCACCCAAACCAGCTCCCAAGGAGTCAGTTGCTTGCCACAGATTTCCTTTCAACCCCAGACAGTTAGCTGGTGCTGCATGCTGCCTGACAGCCACTGCCTTCTCCCCGCCCTGCAGGCAGCTGAAATAATTACCATGTCATTAGCTATCCCAAACCATCTGCAACAGCAGTGGGAGGAAGCAGCTTCCTAGCCCAATGTCCACCTTGCCTCCAGGCCTCTTACCCAGATGGGAAGACAGAAGGCATATTATTTGGCAAGAGAAAGCCCAGGAGGCTTCACTCCGACACTATCAAACTTCAAAGGCACTGGGAAGAGCTGGGACACGTTTCCTGGAACACTGCTAGTGCTGGTACAGCAGCTATGGGCTCTGCCTCACCTGCTGAGGAGCCCCACCAGCTGCAGACCTGCACAAGGGCTGGGACCTGCTGCAGAGGCTTGCCTGGGGCCCCAGCCACCCTGGTCCCTGCACATTTAGGAGTACATTTCCACTTAATCCCACCTGCCTACTCACCACCTTCCCTCCTTCCTTCCCTACCAGGATCTGAGAGGCATCTCCACTGGGTGAGATCAGACCTCAACATGCTGAGACCCCCTGCTGCAACACAGAGCCTTCCCATTTGCAGCATCAGCTGGAGCTGTGGCTCAGAGCATCCACGGTGCCAGAGCACCCAGCACCTCTCAGCTGCTTGGGCCATAATCTCCTCCTGCCCAGTGAAGCGAGGCACTGTAATGGTGTCCCCGCTCCTGGGCCATCTTCATGCAGGGGAGAGGATGTGGCAGTGGGGATGGTCTCAACCCAAATCTCAGTATAGGCGTAGCTTCCATTTCCTTTACCCTTCGCTAGAGAGGATGTGGTCACTGCCAGTGCGTGCAGCTGGAGCTTCACATCTGCTTTGGCTTAGCCCCTTGGCAGCACAGTGTGTCTGCAATGTGCGTTAGGCAATGACTCACTGGCAAGCGCTGCTGGTGTTAACCCCTTCGAAAGCTGCTCCTCTCCTACCCGAGGGAGGGACTCCTTTCAGTCCCCACCAGAAAAGGGCAACTCAGTGTGGTGCCTTGCCCGTGCCTGGGCAGCACAACACAGCTTACCTCTTAGCATTTGGTGCAATTTTCCCCTTGGCAATGAGGCGCTGGCCAGGCTTGAGACCCAGGTTGGTGCATACTGGTCCCTGGGGAATGTGGAGGCAGACACATTAGCTCAGTACCTGCTGACTCAATTGCTCTGACTTGGCACCTCTCCCTGCTGCTTTGCAAGACAGTGCATTACTTCGGATCTCTGGAGAGACAGGGGAGCTCCCTTCCTCTAGGGCACTGCACCAGGGACATCCCAGAGAAGTTACCCCAGTCACATGGGTCATGTGCCTGATTTCCCAACCTTTCTCCTGCTGCTCTCATCAACATATCTGTATTTCACAGCAAAGTGTAAGCACCTGCAAGCTCCCATCACACCCACCCT